CGGGGGAGCAGGGCGGGCCAGCGGGCACAAGCCGCCCGGCAGCGCCTGCCCTCTTGGGGAAGTCCCTCCCGCTTGGCAGAAGGCTGCTGCCGGCTCCACCCCCCCAAGGAGAGCTTTGCTGCCCCCGATCCTGCCTGTGCTCCAGCAGCTCTGCTGAAGGCAGGGCTGTGACCCCCAGGAGGGGGTGTGAGTAGCCCCAGTGATGTCTGGGGGGGAGAGGGCAGTCACCGACCCGTGTCCTCTGGCACAGCAGGGCTTGGGAGCTACCACCCCATAGATGAGGGAAACAGAAGCACTTTAAGACCCCGGCAGCAGCCAGTGGGTCAAAATCTGCTCTTCAGCCAGGACTTGGGCATGGGGTGAGCTGCCTGGACCCACGGCTGGCACTGCCTGCCCCTCTGCCTCGGCTTAAGCCTGACCTGCTGGAGCAGAGCCCTGCTGGGGGAGCGTCCCAAGGTGCTGACAGTCTCTCCTCTGCAGGTGGATCATGCCAAGGTGCTGCACTACATTGGGGCAGGGGTGGCCTTTCCCACCAGCATGCTGTTCCTGCTCCTGCAGTCCATCCTCACCTACCGCATGGCCAAAACACGTGGGCAGTACTGGACTGGCCACTTACGTAGCATCCTCACCACTGTGGCCTTCGTCACCCTTGTCTTCAGTATCCTTAGGAAGGGTGTGGGGAGGAGATCTGGAATGGGCTGGCAAAAGATGGTCATTACAGGGAGTATGCTGCCCACATCTTCCATCCTTTGGTCTGGCAGCATGGCACTGGGCTGGGAGCAGGGCTGGGCAGGGGGCTGAGGCCAGGCAGCTCACTGCAGGAGTGGGCTGGGGGAGCAGCCTTACCACAGCCATGCTGGGCAGCCAGAGGTGTGGGGGCTGAGCTGGGGCAGGGATGCTGGTGGGCATCTTTCTGGGCACTGGGGTGCCCCAAACCAGCCCTGCCCTGTCTGCTGCAGCCCAGCCCAGCCACACTGTGGGCTCCAGCCCTGTACCTTGTAGAGTGGAAGGGCCAGTTAATTGTTGGGGTTTTTTAATGAGACAAAGGTGTGTTGAGCCCTTGGCAATGCAGGTTCCAAGTTACCTATGTGGCCAATGCTGAGTACAAAAGCACTCTGTGTGCCTGCCAGGTGGGTGCCTGGCAGCACCTCTACCAGCTGGGGCTCACCAGTGCCCACCTGCCCATAGAACAAAGGAGGGCTTAGGGCTGGGACCTCTCCTAATGGAATGGAGGGAGTGAACAGAGGGCTCTGCCCTGCACAGGTCAGGTCCCTGCCTCTCCAGCTCTCCTAGACCTTGATCTCACTGACAAAAAGCAGGGTACTGCTGGAGGCTTCAGCTGGAGGACTGGGTGATGCACGTGCCTTCTCCCCTCACCTGTGATGGCTCTGGCAGTAAGTTTCCCTAGACATCCCCAGTGGTGATGAGAGAAGCATAAAGAAGCTCTGTCAGCAATAGGACCAGGAGGAGAGGGAGCAGCACCCCTCTCTGGGCTGAGCCAGCAGGCTGCACAGAGGAACAGGGGGTGCTGCAGGGATGGAATGGAGCAGCCCAAGCTCTTCTACCAACGGGTTGGAGGGCTGATGAGTTTTAGCAACTTCAGCTGCTTCCCACAGGAGGATGAGAATCACCAGCTTGGTTTGAGGAAGAAGCAAGGGTTGTGGGGAGGGTGAGGCACCTAACTTGCCCTGAGGGTTGCAGGCTGAGTTCCCCCTGCCCCGGCCTCTTCAGTAAATCCCCACCTGGCATCAGTCCCATGATTTACTGAGGCTGGTTTGGGAACACGTGCCACCGCCTCGTCTGTGCCAAAGCCCTGCTGGTGATGGGGGAAGCATGCAGGGTTTCTTGGGTTTAGGGGTGGTGGTGTGTTTCCTGTGGACAGGGGCTGCTCATGGCCACCCCAGTGTGCAGTGGCAGTGGGACATGGTCCCTCATAGGGTGGTTGGGGTCCAGCTGTTCTTTCCTTGACAGCAATGCCCTCAGGTGGTGTGTTCTTCATCCAGGAGAGCTTTGTACTGCAGCATGTGGCCGCCTTATGTGAATGGATGTTCATCATTGATGTCCTGGTCTTCTACGGCACCTTCACTTTTGAGTTTGGGGCCATCTCCACAGAAACCTTCCTGGTCCTGCTG